CCGGAACTCACTAAGACTCCTACGCTATAGACCTACAGATCGAACCCCTGCTGCCTATGGACCTACGACAGGCCTACCAACTGCCTACGAATACATAGGTCACAGGTTCAATTCCCGGGACCTACACAGATACTTTTCATGGGTAAGGTGAGGGCTAGGGATCGAACCCTGGGTACTGCATCCGCTACTGCTAAAGGTGAAAACCGTTTCACTTTGCCAAACATTGTTCTCCCTGCAAGCACTTACTACCATCACCCAAAGATGGTCATACATACTGCTGGCTGCCTCTAGACCTTGGCAGATACAAGAAAGGAGTCCAGTGGACCTCTCTCTACCTTCAGTGCACTGTCCGCCCACTGAGTCCCTCTGCAATTTGCGCTAGTCTCCAGAGTCCCTGCCCAAGGAGGCTGTGCGTGGAGCTCCTCGCTGCGCGAGAGCACGGAGGCTATGGTCACATGAACTATCCCCATTCAGGGCACATCTATACTCAGCCCAAGGCAACATCGGAGGTCAACCGCCAAATGCCTCACTACTACCGTCTTCACCCGAATTGAACGGACAGTCATTATAGCCACATTTTTTCGGGCAATTCTCAGTCTAGAATCTAGATACAGCCCGCGGTGCTTCGTCGTTTTCATGTCTGCTGGTGCGGGTTCGAGCGATCTCACGTAAGCATAAGGGTGATGGTGGTTGGGGATGCTATCGCTTAGCGCGTGGAGCGTATCTTGAATGGCCATCAACGTGTAAGCCTTCGCTTGGGTGCTCTTCCAGTTTTGCCAATTAGGAAAGTTGTCTTCGGCTCTGCGCTTTGTCCAAGTGGTGTCGCAATCGGCCGCCGGCGAAGGGGAGACTGTCGCTGGAAGAAGGGCGATCTCCATGAGACTTTGGCCATAGTTGAGGCCTTGTTTCTCTGTTCCTGCGAAGTGATAAGGCGGTTGGTTAGGAGTCGCGGGCGGAAGGGAGGAACGCGTTCTCATGTGGAGTGGGAGGAGGAAGATCGTTCAAGCGCGGGCATACGGAAGGGACTTCAACGACATTTTGCTCCGACGAGTTGATCTTGTATTTTCGTATGGATGTATATAACTACTGTTCTTGTCCGATAACTCTGGTTAGGGTAATCGCTATTGCTGTTAAATTCTATGACAATTCGATAACTACGATCGGGGTTATACTCGCAGCTATTTTCCAAGGTAAGTTCAATCTCTACGATCGGGGTTATATTCGCAGCCTTTTTCAAGGTAAGCTCAATCTCTTCAATTACAATCTTAGTTTGGTCTTAGTTTCACTTTAACATCATCTATTCTGAATCGTTAGCATATCTGTAGGAATCATCACGATAATTACGTAGTTTTGTTCCTTGACTATATCCTTTAATAAATCCTGAGTGTTTCTGAATGTTACTATCATAGCTTAAATTCTGATAGTTTTTCCGATGATTACTTTCTGCTCTCTAAATTGGTGGGAGTTGTCATCGGTTCATTGGGCGCAAGGGGAAGGGGAATAATTGTAATAAGCTTTATTGCTGCCCTGCGCCCTCTTCAACGGGTCATTTTCAAGAGAAAATTCCGAGCTTATTCTGGTGGGCTGGATTGATTATTTTAGAAGGGTAGAATTGGGAGAGTGGGGTGGATAGGGAGCGCTACCCTGCAGGGGATTCACAAGGAGGGGGGTGAATGTCTCAAAGAGGGTAGAAGCGGAGTTGGGGGTTTGTCCTGTTTCTGGGGCTGGGGAGGTGGGACGGGTCAACGTCGTCCTCAGTGGAGGCAGAAACGGGCAAGGGGTGGCGAGGGCACGTTTTAGGAGGGAACTGCGTGTCCTCGACGACAGGGGTGGAGGGGGTTGGTCCTATATTGGGGCTGAGGGAGAGCGGGACGCTCGCCTCGGCGGGGGCAGTGTAGGGCTGAGGGGGTAGGGGGAGRGAGGGGTGATTTTCTTTTGAAGATCTCTAATCTTCCAGTCCAGCAATTTTTTTTTTCTCTTCAGTCATTCCATTTGGTTCGCCTCTCGAGGACGGTGTAGGAATAGGTGAAATCTGGCAAGTCATCTTTGATCCTGCGTAGGGTGGGTGAAAATTCGGTGGCCTCGATGACCAATGCTGGGGCGACGCTGGCCAGAGCCGGAGCCAGGTGGCGCAACTCTGTGACCTAGCTTGGTGGGGGCGTGAGGCCTGGTAGAGAGATCTGGGGGGCTGTTTGCGGGGGCAGTCTCAGTGGTCATCGGGGGTCGTAACTGAAGCGATGCTGGCCGGCGCTGGAGCAAGGTGGTGCAACTCCGTAACCTAGCCTGATGGGAGCATGAGGCCTGGAAGAGCTTCGGTTCGTGCTGAAAACAGCCATGCTGGTGGTGGTCGCAGGTGGACTGAATAGGTTTCACCTATCTGATTCGTGGTTGGGAGGCTTGTTGACACACATTTTCTGAAGGTTTCTGAGTTTTCCTTTTTCTTCAATTGTTCTTAAGCCGAAGCCGGGTAATGGCCCCGGTAGCTCTTTTTTGTATTCTGATAAGGGACGCTGGGCCCGGTTCACAGCCGTGTTGCTCCCCACGAATAGATTGGAGCATCGTCTCATTTACCAAAAAAAAAAAAAAAAAAAAAAAGAATCTACATAAAGCGATAATGACCGTAGGTTCTATTTGGCGGAAGACGGTAGCAGAAGGTGAGCTAGGCAAACATCTGGCGCACACCATACCTCTTCCATGCTTGAATCCTTGAAGCCTCTGCAATGTCTGCATTGTCAGAATGCATTGAGGGTTGTCCAAGTTCGATGTACCTCAGTAGTCAGCAGGGGATAAGATGCACTCATATGTGTGATTGATGCAGTGGGTTGCAGGTATTACACCCATTTTTTACTGGCGCGGTTAGTACCGGGAAAGCTCTATCGGAGGTTTGGGGAGCCTTTAAGAGTTGGACACCCCTTGAAGAGACAAATGGGAGAGGTGGTATGGCTGTTGACATTTCTCCACAGTACGGGCAAGGTTGAGGTGGTTGGATACATCTGAGCTTCTATTTCAATCTTGATTCTTGTAGGGAGGAGGAGCTTTTGAGGGGCAGAAGTGGTTGGCAGGAGCGATTTGCTTCACATCTTCAATTCTGTTGGCCCTATGAGGCTTTCTTTTTTTTTCTTTTCTTTTTTTTTTTTGGTTTGAAATGCCAGAGCAGCGTCACTACAGTAGGGGCGGTAATACAAGCACCCTCCCCCCTTGGTGCACGTTTCGGGTGCTCCATTCTATTGTTGGGGGCCCTCTGAGGCTTTTTTAACTCTCATTTAACAATTAGATGTCAGTAGAAGGAAGAACACAAAACTCAGTTGTCGAAAAGAAAAATCATGAGAGAGCGCGCATGCGAAGAACGAAGCCCGCTCACCTCACAGAGTTATGAAAAACGCAATAGCTGCAAAAACGGAAGAAGAGGAAACTCGAGAGGTGGTTCCTATCCTATGATGTGTACCTGTGACAATTGGTCGTGCACAGCAGCTTGCGTCTCTGCAGGATCGACTGCCCGCGAGTTAACATCTTGACCTCCATCCAAAAGGCTTGACGCATTAAAACTGCACACAAAAGTACACCGTCATCAGCAAGCAGTGGCAGAAGAAACACAAGCTGAAGCAGAAGCAGAAGCAGAAGCAGAAGCAGAAGCAGAAGCAGAAGTCTTTCCGCCCATCACAGATGGCCTACAATACAAGTTCACATAACCAGTACTGAAAGTTTGTCATTATCAATATGTCGCCCATCAGTAGAGATCATCCCTGGCCTCCACCAATACCTCCACTTTCAACAAGACAAGAAGGTCAAAGAAACATACATCATGATGTTGACCATCACTACTGTCACCTCTACTGTCGCATATATTGGTAATGTCACAGGACCAAGGAATCACCAAAGTGAGGGCAACCAACAATGCAAAACAGTGGAAGACTAAAACAATGGAATCTGACTCATCAAACTCAGGACTCAACGCACACACATACATCATGACACATGCGAGAGGCAAGTAGGGGGGAAATGCAACAACAAGAAGAAGCAGAAGCAGAAGCAGAAGCAGCGGCAGCAGCAGAAGAAGCAGAAGAAGCACCGGCACCCGGACATGTCATGTCCAATTTGTAGACAGGGACTCGAACGACAATGCCTCTACAATTGCGGCCGGCGTGCCTTTGTGTTCCTTGCCTGTGGGAGCCATGTTGCCTGTGATATCTGTGTATGTTGTGCCATTCGGTGCAGCAACTGCAACTGTGAGAATTGGATGCGATGCTTCTACAGTCCGCACCCGAATCGGGGCTGTCCGGTCTGCAGGAGTGATCACCTACCATAGGCAACAGTTACTCCTCATCCTGCAACCCGAACACTGATCGACTTCTCGTGTCATTCTACAGTCGTCTGCTCCAACCGTCTGTATATAGAATCTATTGAACTCTCTCTCTCTCTCTCTCTCTCTCTCTCTCTCTCTCTCTCTCTCTCTCTCTCTCTCTCTCTCTCTCT